AAAGAATGAGTTCACACCAACCAATTTATGTTCGTCAATATTCTCAGCGACGACAGTGACACGAGCGGTAATTGTCTCGTTGACATAGACGTGATTCGGTACCTCGACGGCTATGAATGTGTCCTTCGAGCTGGTCACAGTTGGGCTCACTGGTGAGCATGTGTCCATGTCACCAACTGACCAAAACGATGAACTGATTGCCCACTGAGTAACTGAATCCGGCGAATTCAGTTGCACTGTCTTGCGTCCACTACGCCTAAATCATTAATGCATTTCGGTCGTTGTAATTTACGGCTCATTTTCACGTCTTGCTGAGTGTTTGGTGCACTGTTGACTAACATTGGTAAACAGTTCAAGGGGAGGTGAGACACGTCACTGAATGAAACGCTACAAATAAAGAATGAACCCGAGAATGAAGTCATCGAATAGCCAAACTTCAGGGAAGAGTTCCCTTATTCTGATCGAAGGCTTCTTCAGTCCTCTCATAATGCCCGCATCATTCATTACTCCTCCATATTGTAGCAGCGGAGGTTTTGTACTAATGCGAGCAACATAAGGCATTCCAGCAAGCTTGATCAGTTCACATGATTGAACATTCCGATCACACGCTGCACTCGCTGAAAATTCATGATTGCTTCATATTCGACAATGAGCACTTCTGTGATAGATTTCTTAACGGAGCTCATTGTTTTGAATGTTTGAATTTGNGCAAGTATGATTGTTTGAAGGCATTGATATGAAACAATCGAGCGAGTCTCTTCGCTTTGAGGACAATTCTTGAGGTGCTGTAAAAATAAGATGCCAGCTTCATGACACAGTTCATCTGAAATGATTTCGGTTTTGAAGTGTGACATCATGATGTGATTGAATAGTTCTTCTGAATGCATCAAAGAACAAAGTACTTGGTCGCTTTTTTCATCGGAACGGATGCTAGAATGAGAATGCCCTCGAAATCGAGAATTTTTATAGTGAACGCGATAATGAAAGAATGTTTATTAGATGATTTCTCCTGGTAATAATACGGAATCGAATGATTACGCATTGCATTATTTATCTTCTACTATATTGCGATATTCACAAAGTCATCGAATCTATGTGGGTTTATTGTGCCATTCTGCAGTTGCTTTTGTAAATATTACAGGTCATGTATGATCGCAACAAATAAGCTCATCTCCGATAATTTATGGAGTAATTCTGAGTGTCCTGCCGCCAAGAATTCTCCTATTCGAAAACGACCTACAAATGATGAATTTCTTGGAGCACACCGAATTGTGAAGTTGTACTGAGGATATAGTATTGTTGTAAACATACTGAATGAGTCTATGAGCGATTTAGGATCGAGAAAATTGATGAGTCGAATTTGGTCATCCTTGAGTTCGGGTTTATTGAAAAACGATAGATCCCAGTAGTGAACGACAGTTGTTGATGAGAGAGTCTGTAATTGTTCAACATAACAGACAAACAATCTTATCGTTCCATACTAGTCTGTCTCAATGTTCCCATCTGAACGAAATCGAGTGGAATGTTCATAGCATTCACTTCTGCAACTCATTCCGTTGAAATTTGAGGCAATAAAGCCAATTTACGATCAGTTTTTGCCGATCAAAACGAGTCACAAACTCGTCAGCACATCGCACTTACGTTAGAACTTGTAATGAACTGATTTATTTTCCCGGAAACACTAAGTAGTGCAAGATTTTTTTTTTNAAAAAACCGTTATCATCAATTCACTACAGTGACATGAAAAGCAAATATTTTCCACACGGGCAGCATATTGCCAGAGAGTGGAATATACCTCAAAAAGTCTCAGCATTCTCGCATCAATAGCGGAGAGTGTCGCAAGCCCATTTGAGCCTCCCTTTAGGGTTATATTTATCGTTTCACTTGGAACAATCTTATTCGTTGACACTGATATTGAATACTGAAATTATGATTTTGAATGAACAAAAATATGAGTATTTCCATCGGAAGGAAATCCCGTAGAGTGTATCAATAGGCTTTCATAATATTGCCTATACATCAGTGATATAATAAGTTTGTATTTAATTCAGTGAAACGAACGAACATTGGATGTTCGCCAGCACCGAGAAATGTTCACCATCAATTAGTAATTAATAAAGAAAATATGCCCTGATAAATGTTGAACTAGTGCATTCATACGATCGACTTAGATGACAATTCACTGCGATGAAAAAATGCTGTGAACGAACCGGGCATTGCTGTCGCACGAAAAAAAGTATCATATCGGTGCGTACATCCTCATCGATATTGAACACATACAAGACACAATATTCAATCATATTCGAATTAATCTCGAATATTATTAGACCATCGTCTCTCGCGCGACCTGCTGTTGCTATTGACGCCTTATTGCACACAACCTGTCAATTCTTTCGCATCAGATGCTATATCAACTCATTTCTTTTTAAGCTCATCTGTCGATAAATGTCGAATTTCAATTCACCAATTCACTGGTCTGAATTTCTGTTACCTTATGTGTGTCTTTTGAGGATCTTTCAATGTTATCTCGAACATCTGACGATGTCTTGACTTATTTCGATTAGCTTGCGTCAGATAACTTGAACGAACTTCGTAAGCTCCATCCAAAGAGAAATTTTGAAACTACCAGAAATATGATGTAAACATTTGAGCAAAATGACGCATTTCGCTTTCGAGAGAATAGGATAGGAATGGGATGACATGATATTGGCGAGCGAAAACAATACCAAATAATTGAGTTTCGATGCGCTATCGATCGGCACAAAAGCTCGGAATTTATCGCCGACGTTAAAGGTGGCCGAATGAGGTAGACTAGTGGATATCCAATCGAAATTGATCGCTGGTGAGTTGTCGAACGATGGCAAGATGAGTGTCACTTTACGCGAGATACGTGAGCCGATCTTGCGAAACGCCTAGAAATTACACAATAAACTCAAAGCAGTTTTTACGTGAAATCTCCTTCTCGAATGCACATTTGAGTTTTATTGCGAATAATGAATCGAAATTTATGACTGTGGTAGAAGCGAAGTGTTTTTATAGTTGCAAAGTCCACTGACTGAAGCCTTATAGAATTTTCACCGGTTCGCTTATGCAGTTCATGAACGGGCTGCGCTCGATTCACACTCATCTTTATGTCTCGCCGAGTTTCAATTGGTTCTGCTTGCAGCTCACATCAGCTCAGCTCATTTTAGCTCACGAGCAAGCCGAATTGAGCAAGGCAAAGGCCTGTTATTGAGTTGCGAAAATCTCTTCTCAACTAGGGATGTTGTGAATGAATACAGTCTCGATTCAAACCTGGATTCGCAATGCACGACATACAAAATCGTCATCCAGTGACAGCGACAGTATATCACCGATGTTCACTCTACTCACAATCGATGTTTGTGTTTTACGACGATCCTTACAGATACACGTTGTTTCTATCTCTACGAGTCCCCTTCGCGTCGATACATCTCCACTGAATGCCCTCACCTGCAATCACAATTACTTTCGTAATTGAATGCACTTTAATCATCAATCATTTATTGCTTCCATGCATTAATGCATTATTTATAATGTACGGTGCTTGTGAGCACATTTCACGCTTTCGGATTTTTATTCTGACTCGAATTTTTTTGCAGAACGAGAAACTTCTGGAGCGGTTTATTCATTCCCCATCGATTATAAAAAATTCATAGAAAGTGAAAATTTATTCAAAGGGATTCATTTAAAAACTTGATTCCATTCAATGTACGACTTGTTAGGAACAACAACAGGTGTCGGTAATTTCGTTCTTGAATAATTCATGCAGACCATCGCGCACAGATTGTTTTTGCCCTTGACAAAACCAATGCATCGTATATAAAATTAGTTCTGAGAAATTTCAGGTGATTATTGCTTGCTTTATACTTCATCAGACTTTCGATCGACTGCAATACTGGCTCGAACTTAATTGATCGATTGGGGTTTAACAACCAAACAAAAAGTCGTCATATCATGCCTAAGGAAACTGTAAAGTACGAAACTTTCAATGTGTTGTAATTGATAGTGGATTGCCATGATTTGGGAATATTCGACATCTGTTTATGAGGCTGCGTTGCAGGGGAAATTCAGCTGCTATGACATATTGCGTTTCATTGAAGTGTAAATGAGCTTGATTAGTTGAGAACAAATGGCTGCGTTATGGTGCAGACGATTTTTTGCTTCGTTGAGCGTTCATTCGTGCTTTAAATCAATTGTTCGAACATATCAGTTCTGCGCAAGGTTTAATCCTTCTTCATGTTGAATAGAACAAACAGCTATCAAATTCCCGCTGCTATCATCACCATATGGCACACCTCTGTTCCATTCTATCGCTAGCGAGCGAGAGAATGCATTTTAAAAAATGTTATGTCATCAATTTCTACTGAAATATCAAGTTGCCTAATAAGCTTGCCTACATCTTCTGCCTTTCATAATCACCCACTCCATTACCTATTCGAGTGCTACAATGTTTGAACAAAAGAAATTCCATAGCATGAATAGCAGTGAATTGTTTCTTTAAGACTGTGTCAGACGCAAAAGGAGAGTCAAACTAGATGCAGCGAAAAATAATTGCCTTTCTAATTGCTACATGAAACAGCATGTTTACAACCATTCATTTGATACTTTCTAATTGATATTGTGTCACTACAACGAATAACTCTCTCATGACGTTAGTGGGCGTTCACTTTACAAAAGCCCACTAACGTCAGTTTCCGAGAAGAAAGTTTCGTTTCTTCAAAGAAATATGTGGAACACAATATCCCAAAGCTCACATCATGCTCGAATAGAAGCTCAAATCATGCTCGAATGGACAATGGTATTTATAATCATACCAGTATGAGCACAGGTTGAGCGGATTTCGTTTTGAAGCCAGGTCTAAGAGGTATCAATTCGAAATTNGCTGATTGTGGGTCAGCGTCAGCTCTTCCTTCACCACGCTTACCAGCACCCCATTCTCGAATCTCGGCAATCACTGTGAATGCTTGTTTATCATCGATCATCCAACATCCACTCACGTTCACTTCTTCTGACCAAAAGCCATTCACAAACTGAAAAAATGTTTCCGAATGTCGCGCTTTTATTCATTACGATATTGATCACATTTATTGAACCTCTCCCATATTCCATAGTACGGAATCATTTGAGGCACTAAATTCAATGCAAAAAAATTCTTGGAAGACCATTCCTATGAATATGATCATTAGAGAAGTTATAGCGGCACTAGAAAACGTTGATGCAAGTCAGTGTAGTGTTTCCTTGCATTCAAACAACACTTTTAGTTCGGTCTGTATCCTGTTTGTAACTTACTAGAGTTCATTTCGTTCTACCTCAGCAATGCGTATTTCGATAATTGCTTTTGCTAGGTCACTTCTTATTTGGTCACAAAGAAGTGTTGTAGCTAGTCTTTGAAGCGCAGAAAAATGTGGATTGTTATGCTTGTCGTTGCGCTCAAAAGGCGAGATATACATGCGTAGATTTGAATAGCAACAAATCGCGATGAAATCCACAACGTGATGCATATTCGGGTCGAATCGCATGCGATGTCTTACCAGCATCAACATTCACTTATCTAAGCGTTATCAATAAAATGCATCTAAAAACGTAATTATAAACAATCTGTAAATGTAACCGTTTTCTTCAAGATCTTCGCAATTATTCACATTCAATCTCCATAGCTTGCATTACTCTTCTTGAAAGAATTTGTACTAACAGACTCACTCGTCCGTTCCTCATTTTAAAAGCTACTTCCGGATTTAACTTATGATAACATTTGTTGTTATTCAGGACTTTCATAACAACATAATGTAAATTCGACATATTTGTGATCGTTAGCAACTGCGGAACTTGTGATAAGGTAATAAGTGAAGAAATTATCTTGCATTTTACTCTGTTTAAAATTTCAACCTCTTAATCCTTACAATCAGCTCTTTCTTTTTTTCGAAACTGTTCTCGTTAATGAAACCTTTTTTCGAGTGATTTTTCACAGAGCCATTTATGAACAACTTTTTAGTGATTGATATTTTGTTGACTATTTGCTCGCCAGCAAAAATTCTGATTGTCAGCAGTTGGTTTGATACGATTCTGTCGACAGTTCCTCTCTGGAGAGTAATTGAAAATGTTAAATCAGAGTATGATTTATTAAGTCACAAACGATGGATCGCGCCACAACATAAATAAGTAGCGCTGAAGTTGCTCAAGACTCCAATCATTCTTAATTAATTAGTAGTTTGTTTCATTTATTTCAGTCACCCAGACAGTACTAAATCCTTCGAAGCATTCAGATTTTTCGAACTTATAGTCAATTCTAAATTCGATATTCAACTCAAAATTGCTTTCTTCGGTTTTCAGAAATTTCAAACTTCTTGAATTATTTTTTACTCTCAACATGGAATATTATTTCAAAAACGGATCTTCGCAAAATTCACTTCAAATGATCGGAATTTCGAATTCAGTACGAGAGGTTAGCATAATCTGTTCCAAATTTCAAATTTCCAATTCGAAACGGAATGAAAATGCGGGCGGAATTCGAAAAAGCCCAAGGTACGCCTAACCGTAAACAGTGATGAGGTTCACATCTGAGGCAAGCCTCACCTTTAGCCCTGTGGTAGGCCTCGGTCGAAATTCCGGTATATCTAAGCCTACGCGTGAGGTAGTTCTCAATTTAAACACGGGTTTCAACCTGTGCCATATACCAAGCGGCACAAGATGAGTTTCAGCCTGTGCCGCTTGGTATATCTCAAAAAACAGCCTCAGCTAAGCATTAGGATGAACTTCAGCCTATGAACCTCTTGTTGATCATTGGACTAAGAATCGGTTTTACCATTGGACTTGTTTGATGCAAGGAGAATGATTTTGTTGTGCTTGACACAAAACGTTATCGAAAAGCAAATAAGAAACAAACGAATCCTGCCCACATACAACTTCAAACGGATTCTAATTATTATGTTGCATTTTGAATTTCGTTTTCAAATTCTGATCATGATTTTTTTAATTTTGAATTTTCAGTTGTGATTTTGAAGAGGTGAATTATTTGAGAGATAATCAGCTCATGTAATGAGAATGTAGAAAGGATTTTGGAACAGATATTTGATATAGGGTTGGCGTGTAAATGTAATAACACAGACGTTTTCGAGAGCTAGCCTTTGAAAACCTATGGGAATGACTAACAGCACGCAAACATTTTTCTTGCAATCTGTAACATGATACTTATGAAGTAATAAACTGAACGTATGCATTTTGTAATCTCTGTGGCTAGTTTGTCAATTGGTGAAGTTGTCACTGAAAGTGTATGAAGGTTGTAACATTAAAAGGTTGCTGAAGCGTAAGAGAATAATAAATATTTATGCCTAACATTATTCGATTTTACCAACTCCTGTTTATGCTTTTATGCCTAGATGATATTTCCAGTTCACTGATCGTCGTCGACTAGCGCGTACTTGACGTTGCTCCAAAAAATTGCATTGTGAAAGCAATTTGTTTGAGTGTCCTATTGAGCAGTGAACGTCAAAAGCTTCATTAAATGTTCACGTCCGCTCGTTGTGAATCTTACTAAAAATCATTCGAAGCTGACTACGAGTGTCCGTTGGTCAAATCAACGAACAGAAAGCAATGGTGAACTTCTCTTCTTGTGTTACACCTACGTTGAAACCAGCCTATTGTTGCAGAAACCCCTTAATATCCCTAGGATCCTCGATCGTGAATTCAATTTCATATACTGAACTGTGCTTATCTATTCGCTGATTGAAAACAACTAGCATGTAGGTAACGTTGATGGAATGATTCGAAGACAATATGCGAAAACAGTTGTTTAAATATAATCAAAATGTCATTGGTCTCTTGAAAACATACGCGGTTCATCGGCTTTTGATAAAAATTGCGTTGCATTTGATGCTATTTTATTATATCGTGATGGTTAAATTTGCATTGTTGTGATGATGCGATCAAGTGCAAACATTTAGCATCAGTTGAACGGAATTAATTCTTTCATCAAATCTTGCGATGCGGAAGTTTATCGTGAGACATCATCTCACTGATTAATTGCAGTTTTCGGCCCAATAGATTTTCAGTGTTCGAAATGGGATTCGATTACATTCGCATGAACATTCACTCCCGTCCGCTTATCTATGTCATTCAGTCTTTGTCATTTCATTTTAAGATCAGCAACGCAAACGCAATGAAGATTAATCATTCAACATTTCGAGTCTAATGACTTGACGCACTGTGAGATCATCTTGGGCCTTCTTTTGCATCGATCACTCAGCTCTTAAAGGTGCAGTGTGTTTCCAGAACTTTCACTGTTGTAACTAACAATTTAATCGCATATTCACAATATATTGGCTGAATTATGTTCACAATTTCCGTTGCATGTATAAATGAACTAAAACATGCCGAATCATACCTGATAGTGAGTATCAATATCATTTCATCAGGGGAATATTATACATCAATTGGATTGAAGTTTAGAGAAGAGAACGTGAACACAAATCAATGAAACCGTCGAATTTTCGCTGTAGATAGGCGAGAATCGTTGTACGATGAATTGAGGAAAAATGTCAAAGACAGTCCGTAGACTAATTAAACGTTCTGAGAACTGAGTGTGTTCACTTCAATGTTTAAACTGCGCTTCGTGACGGAATTACACCAAAATGCCAAATAGATTCCTCAATTAATCATCACAAAAGAGCATAAGTTTTGCTATCGATTTAGATGTTGTGCTGCTATGTAAATGCGAGCTTTCGCCGAATGCGACTCAACTAAGACTTATTGGCTCGTCAAAAAGAGACACAAGCTGAGGTACTCGAAACGAAATTGGATTCGAGACTGACAGAAGCACAAAGTAATGCTGCTCATTTGAACGCACTCCCGCTTCAGCCAGCGATAATTCTATTCCTCACCATTTGACATGTCTATGAGATATCTGTTCATTTTATATCTGTATATGTGCGATGAAAGATCGAAACAAGAACTTTGTTTTGACGTCTTCACAATTTCACATGCAGCTGTCAATTCTCGTAATTCTTGTACAGCTTTTAATATTTCAGTTCAAAAGTTTTTAGTCCAAATCCCTCTCTCATTTCATGAGCAAAGGCTTATTGGTCTCTAGGGTACATTCTTTAGGCTTTTACGCTCACTCGTAACCAGAAACGCGTATATGTTCCATACCTCAGAATCCGTTTCCGAAAACTCAGAATCGTTGGAGAATCACTATCAAACCGAAGATTTTCTCTGCATATCATCTACGATATAATATTCCATTTCAAAATATTGCTCAAAATGCCTATTTGGCGAGTTTTTTGGCCATGTGGGTACTTCTACACGGTGCTAGCGCATGAGTTAAGAAAACAGCTACAGACTAAAATTTTTTGTTTGCAGATCAGTTAGTCTGAATTTCCATAACGATTCACACTCTACAAACTGCTATATCAATAACAAAGCTCAACTAAAATTTAATAATTTCGCCAGCTGCATTCATAAGCATATGCTACTCGCTAGATCGTTCATTCGGACTCAGTTTCAGGCGCTCATTCCAATTGAATAACTAAACGTTGTGATATATCGAATACTTCTTGATTTACTTTTACCCCATTTCCACCGAACAAAATTCATTTGCCCATTCCCATCTATCGATTCTTCCTGTACGCTGTTCGAAAAGAATGCTTGAAGATGTATTCCTTAATGAAATCATTCATCGAGTTTAAAAGAAAATCTCACTTTACGAGAACAATGAATCTCATAGCTTATTATTGCGTGCGTCTATTTCTAGAGTAATTCAATTGCAGTGTTTCAGGAGGATTAAGTGAAAGCGAACAATTACTCAAGATAGTCTGATAATCTAATCAGCAAAAATTTAAGCTGTCACTCGGCATTAACGATGTTGCCTAGTCGCAGTGTTGATCAGCGAAGGAGCCTAGTCATGATGTCGATCAGCAAAACATAGGTTCACATTATATCGAGAATTCAGATGAATGCAATATTTTCAAGTTCTTGGAGGGATGTACATTCATGTAAGGAAATACTTTAAAACGGTGAACTTATTTGAGGAAATATGTTCTCTTGGTCTGGTATCATTGATCATTGCAGCTGTTTCAGCCTTCTCCCAAACTGCATCTAATGAGACGGACCTACTAAAACCTACACTCAATAGAAGTGACATCGTTTTTATCAAATTTTTGAGGCTATTTTGTAAGACTATTTTGATGGGCTTCACATAAATTACGGGTAAGTATTAAATAGCAATGAAATTGATGGAAGTATTCGAAAATGGACATCTGTAACCTGCTTTCATTCTTCCAGCTTTTTTTTGAATACTGGTTTTTCGTACACCGCTCGGTTCCGAGCAAAACTTTCCTCCGCAAGCGGGAGTCGAACCCGCGATAAGTTCGCTCTGATTGTAACGTTTGACATTTGTCACATCAATATCGCATTATGTGCGCTGAAGAACTGATTGCAATCTTAACAGAACCTATTGGCAAAGGCTGAAGGTCTTCGCAACAGATCATGGTAATTGGTACGTCACAGGTCCGATTCTCGTTCGTGGAGGAAAATNAATGTCATTGATGTT